ATTCGATTTAATTAATCGAATATCAAATTATTACTCCAAGTTCAAATTCAAACCTTACTAAATGTGTAAAATTGTGTTTTATGCTTAAACTATTTTTGAAACAATTTTCATAAAGTATTTTGAACCAAAATCAAGCCTAAAATCAATTTATCAAAGTGATGCACCGATGCACCAATCCATGCATCGATGCACCATGAATTAAATTGAACATCGAATGCATTTCATGCATCGATGCACATACCATGCACCGATGCACTGAGGATTATATGAAAACATCGAATGCATTTGATGCATCGATGCATCATCCATGCATCGATGCACTCTGGCTATTTTGAAACATCGAATGCACTCTTAGTGCACCGATGCACTCTTAGTGCACCGATGCACTAAGGGTTTAATGATCAAAATATTTGAATTTTACACTGATGCACCGATCCACCATGGGTATGCATCGATGCACTGACTCTCCCAAGTGAATTTATTAATTATTTTCACACTTAAACGGCTCTATTGACTCCACTAAGCATCCCCAACGTTCAGAATCATTTGAAGGTGTATTTAAACAAGCTTAGAAGCCATTGATCATAACAAGAAACAACAATCAACAAGAATCAAGAGAGAATCAAAGAGAAAACATCAAACCTCAAGTTTGAGCATTTCAAGCCTATTTTTCATTCAATATTCATTTTGCTTTCAAGAACACTACTTGTACTCAATTGTATTCATTTTTTTGTGTTCTTTTCTTTGTTATAGAATTGTGTAAACAATCTACCTTGTGAGGATTTCCTTGTAAGTTTGCAAATTTGTAATCTTCTCTTCGAGAAATAGTGTTCTAAAGAATTGGGGTATACTCTTAAGGGAGTTGTAAGGTTATCTCTTTGGTCTCAAAAGAAAGAAAAAATTAGTGAATTTGTTGGAAAATCCTTAGTGTGGATAGCTAAGGTAGTGGACGTAGACTTTGATTGAGAAAGTCGAACCACTCTAAATCGTTGTGCAATTACTTTCAATTTTTTGCAAAAGCTTCCACCAAAATTTTAATTACCAATTCACCCCCCTTGGCCGATTCCGTCGATCGATTAACTCAACAGTATGTGAAGTCAGAAAGGAACCTAGCAGATCCTTGGTCCTAGATTCATCGAGGGGGATGAGACTAAAGCCCATTGGTTGAGGAATTCATAGTGGATACCCAACTCAGTTATCTAAGTTCCCTATTGTCAAACGAAACCATGGAAAGACTCATAGTGCACATTCCTACTGCCTATCCCTATGATGAATAATGTGCATGCCCAGGATGAGCTTAATCGCTCTTAATAAATTCATAGCTCAGGATTTGGGTGGTCTTAGTGAGAAAACTTGATGAATTTACCGATTTTGGTTGAATATCTATTCTTAATAAGTTCATCACCCAGAGTGAGTGGTTAGTCCTAAATGAGAAGGAAATAATGAACTTACCGACAGAAATGTTAAGTTTGTTAAACTCTTAATAAATTGAAATCCAATAATTTGGATGGTTCTAGTGAGAAGAACTTATTGAATTTACCGATTATTAAGGATGAATATTTATTCTTAATGACTTCTTAGCCCAGAGTTTGGGTGGTTCATTAATAATGAACTTGAAGAAAGCCGCCATACCCTTTGTGAGGTTGAGCTATTATAAAAGCTCTTAATTATTTCATATCCCTTTTAAGGGTGGTTTATGTTGAGATAAACTTGATGAAATAACCTATATAAGTGAGAAGGGTTAGCCGCCTTCTATGAAAAATGTAGGGCCATTTTTCTAGAACTCTTACTAGAATCCTGAGGTAAGATGGCCAAATATATACTTTTGTATATATATATCTTACACATCGAGGACTCAGGTGGATGAAGGGGTTAGTTGTGTGTTATGAGTTTACCCTATCTTAGAAAGTTCCAGACTAGTTTCACTTATCTAAGAGAAGGATTGCTCATCATTACTATGTACTAGTTCCAGATATGTTCACTAGTGCTTAAGCAACTAATCTCGCTATTGCTCTTCTGGAAAGATTTTTTTCGAGTTTCAGAAGAATTTTTTCGCATTAGTGGGGGAATGTTGGTAATGCTCAATCCCACATATAGTTGGAAATACTAGTGGGAATGGTATTTAAGGTTTACATTCTCCATTCCCTTGTTGAGTGATAGAGAACAAGGCGTGGTAATACGTGTCTTTGACACGTCCACACGGATACTATATTTTTAGAGAAAATTCGTAAAGAATTTTTCTCTGAAAGATTAAATGAAAAATGTGAAAGATTCATCTGATATTTATAGGCTACTGAGACTGTTAAAGTTTGAATATTTCAAATGATAACAGCTGATTATTAGTTGTCTGAAATTAAATAAATTAAACATTTATTTTTCTAAATTAAATAAGAATTTAAGATGTGTCTGTACTGATTTTCAGCTTTGTTCATAGGAGAGACAAACTGTTAATATCAGGAGTTACAGAAGTTATATGATTTATTTTCAGGAGTTATAACTGTTTAATTTTTATGCAATGAACATGGACTCTTTTTTGAGCCAGATTCATCAAGAGGAGTTATAAAAAGAGGTTTAAATTCAGAATTAAAATCAAATTTAATTTGATTTTCTTGTTGGACGGATTTACCCTTACTTCTAGCTTATAAATAGAGAGCTAAATTCAACTTCTTAACTCACACTCTCTACAATTAGAATTCACTCTCTAAGTGTTTTCTAAAGTTGTTCTCTTCTTGCTTTCTGATCAGAAGTGCAATACCACTAGCAGTCCACTCCAGTTTCTGGTATACGAAATTTGGAGCGACCGTGTTAACCTCGGGGGACAATCCGCCTATTGGAGCGATTACACACATCGAGGCGAATTCGTTTCTAAGGCAGTGGTTAATACCACAACACGGTTAATCGGTTCTTTATTTATATATTTCAATATATATCTTTCATGTCAGTGTTAATGCCTCGTTTTGCAGCATTCTATTTTACCAACACATAGTGTGTGGTTCGGGGTGAAGCTACAAGAGCAGTGATACTTGAAGGATGTGAAAAAGATGGTCTCTATGGTTTTTGCTCTACCTTGTCAAGGAATAATGCTCATGCCAAATGCACTGTAGCTCGAGGGGTTGTTGATTTTATCTTATTGCACAACCGATTAGGACATCCCTTTCAGGATACATTATTCAAAGTGTGTAAAGCATGTAATGTTGATACAACTTTGATTAATGATGGTTTTGTTTGTGTTGCTTGTCACTCTGGCAAAAGTCATTCTCTATCTTTTTCTCCATCTATTATTGTTTATACTGAACTATTTCATTTAATATTTGTGGATTTATGATAGCTAATAAAAACAAATATTAGCTGGTTTGTTAAAATGAGTGTAACAACATAACTGAGCTGGCGTAACCAATTAGATTCTTCTAGTAAGTCATTTATAAAAGGATAAATATAAGTTTCTATGAAATGAAAAAAACAATACATTTTATAATGTTTACAAGAAAAGTTTAACATACAATAACATAATACTGACTCAACATATTTGACTGACCGCTTGACTCCTCCTCCAAACCGTTAAACCTACTATCTTTCCATCATCCACTTTCTCAATCCTAGAAAACACATAGCTCGATTTGCTACTGTTCTTTAAACCGAAAAAATCTTTTGCGCCATTGCTAGAAATCTTTTGCATCTTCACCGTCATTTAACTTATCCAATAAACCTATAAACGACCCTAGAAAGCTCTCTCTCATCTCTAACATATTCAATCTAGCACCCATAAATACCTGCAGAAAAAAAAAGAATCATGTTAATTCTTACAATTAACTAAAAATCAGAAGTTATGTCTTTAATATATACCATTATCTGATCTTGAATAGAAGATGGAGATTGAGAACTTGGTTGTTGAAGGTGATGATGAGTTATTTGATGATTTATCATCCAAATCAAACCATGACGAGTCTCTATGTTTTGGTGGCAGATTACCAAATACAAAGCCCAATAGTCATTATACAGGTTTCACACGTCGACAACTTGATCTTCATTTTGAATATGTTTAATACATACATGAGCAAATTATGAAAATATTTATAATTTGCCAAATCAACTTGAACAATTCTGGTATATCATGAAACCCTATGATTTCAAGCGTAAAAACTATGACGAGTCTCTGTATTTTGGTGGTCATTCATCAATGAAACGATGGATTGTTATCCCATGGTTTGAGGAAGATGAGGTCGTTGTTATTGGCGTAAATTGCCATGAATCCTCCATTAATGAACCTGAGAAGCTCCTACAATGCTCATGTGCTTGAAGTGACAGCTCAATGCCAAGAGCTCTTAAGGCATGGGGATATATTAAGGGGTCATTGAGCTTAGACTGATAATCAGCAGTCTAACCAATTCCATGGCGGTCGTTTTGATTAATGGATGGAGACAATTTTAAGGACAAGCTTTCGGTTACTGTCGAAGTAGTCGCCATTGTTGTAGCACTTGGAATCAATGTAAGCTTGTTTCGAGCATCCCCATTTCCCCCCCCCCCCATCGGTTCTTCGACACCTCCCAGGTTTGGTCCATTTTTCTCCCCTTGAAACAGCTCCATCTAATATTACCAAACGCAACGACCAAACACCCTTGTTAAAGCCAGAACGAAACAACAAAAATCCATTACCAAAAAATGGTTTAGAAGAAGAAGAGTCAAATGGTTGGTCAAACATACTGAGTCAATTGGTTTAACATGCCACATCAGCATTCAGTTACTGCAATAATGTTAACAGAGTGACCATTTTGTAGCAAACAATAACATTAGTGATCAATTTGTTACTTTTTAAACATCAGTAGTGAGAACGAACACTACCCAAACAGCAGTGACCATTAGCGTAGTTTACCCTTTCTATTCAAAAGTTTCAAACTCTATTCCCGCCTTCTCCTACATCTGAAAAACAACAGTCAAGTTCATAAATTACTAGTAATTAATAACCATTTTTGTCTTTCTCACTTTCCAACATATCTCCCTACACATAATGATGACAACAAGTTTTGAACAGTTACCGTTAATCCTTACCAAACACAGCACATTCAAAGCCCACACATTTCCCTATATCCTTTTCTTTTCAAATTCAAAACCCTCTTTCAGATCAAGCTGAAACCATCATTTCTTAAAGAAAGGACTGGCTTTCAAGAAATCTGACCAAAACCCAGAGTTCTAAATCCGTCCTTCTTTCTTGAAAAAGCAATGAGTGCGTTCGAGGATCCTTTAGTTCAACGCCAGGCTTCATACAATTCTCTGTATGTTAATCCTCTCAGTGATCTCAAACACAACCGCTGCTGCAGTGAAGGGAACCATGCATCATTTTCAGACAACAAGGAAAACATTATCTTTGGTGTTGATAAAGAAAATGCTGATCCTTCAACACAAAAGGGGTCTTCTTCTCCGGTTGCTAAAAGGACTACCCATTTGAAGTCTTTGTCCACAATTAGCACTTTTGATACTAGCAAACAGGTTCCAAGGTACAAATCTTTGTCCACAGGGAAGGTCCTGAAAGAGTCGTCCCTTCAGTTCTGTATGCAAATGAATGAGCCTGACAAGGCTTTTGGGTGCAAGTTATGGGATCCAATTGATTCAGAGCATTCTGCTTCTTTAAACATTTGGGATTATTCGGATTCCGAGGCCGCCCCAGCTTCTTCTTGGTCCACATTGCCTAATAGGTCAGTATCTGAAACATATTTCTAATCACTTGCAATTTAAGAGATTATTGAAAAAGAGAAGCTTGTAAAAATTGGGACTTTTGTTTTTTATTCACGTATTTGGCTTGGTGGCTTCTGTTTTAGGGCTTTGTTGTGCAGGCCGTTGCCACTGGACATAGGTAGATGTGCTTGTGTTATTGTGAAAGAACCCTCTCCAGATGGTTTCCATGGCGGCACTTTGTATTCACTTTATACCAGTGTAAGCTCTTACTTGTTAAGAACACTACTAACAGCATTTCTCATCAATAATCAGACTTACTTCGGCTCCTAGTCATCTGGATCATCTAGAAATATTGCCTAACAACGAAACGAATCTGAATAAAAGTTAGTCACATGATAGTTATGATAGTATCTTCTCCTGTTTTTGGCTTTTCTGCCTCCAATGAGCAGTAGTAATTGCTTACTTGAGATGGTGCAAAAACCATTTACCATATGCTTTCTTAAATTTTGGTCTACATGGCATTTCAACACCACAGGAAGGTAAGGGACGACAAGATCGGAAACTAGCGGTAGCATATCAGAAACGACGCAACGGGAAATCAGTTTTTTCCATAGCTCAGACTACCAAAGGAATACTGTCTAATTCTGATAATAGTTGTGTTGGACTCATGACAGCTAACCTCTTCGGAACGAAATACCACATATGGAATCAGGTTTGGTCCCTAAAAGGTTAATCTGCCTAGATAAAGGCAATTAGATAGGACAAACAATTCTTACTTTCAATTGGCTAATAAACAATTTGCTTCATTGTAGGGTGGCCGGACCAAGCCGTCGAACAAACAGTCTAATCCTCTCTTGGGTGTTGTAAGATTCGTGCCAACCATAGCCACATGGACTGGCAGTTACCGGAGAATGAAGGCCTATATACCTAAGCATCAGTCGATGCAGCTAAAGAATGTGTCTCAGGTAGCTCAAGATCCCTAACCCGGAGTTCCCCTAGTATATTTTCTTGGGTTCTCTTTGGATAATCGCTTTGCATTTATGTAGATGCAACACATTAATGGACTAACCAAGGGCTGGGAAGGGCAAATGGACAAAATCCACAAGTTATTCACACGGATTCCTCGTTACAACAATGTAAGAATGTGTAAACCTGTATTTCTCCTCAGCGAACCAGCTTGAGAATTCGGACTACGGTTCCTCCCTAACCCTTTTAATTGCTTCCTGTTGAATCAGATGCTGAACCAATACGAGTTAAACTTCAGAGAAAGGGGAAGAGCTGCTGGACTCAGAATCCAAAGCTCAGTAAAGAATTTTCAGCTGACATTGGAGGTACCATAATGCACATACTATATTAGTTATACATTTTTTGGATGTCACATGCCAAGTATTCCGATATGGAATAATTTTATCAGGGCTTATTTTGGAATTGGTTATGCAGGAGAATGGAAGACAAACAATTCTACAGCTTGGAAGGGTGGATAGGTACAAGTATGAAATGGATTTCAGGTATCCATTAACAGGCTACCAAGCATTTTGTATATGCTTGGCTTCAATAGATTCAAAGCTTTGTTGCGCCATGTAAGTGAAAAAACCCCAGCATTTTGTCCGTAGCTCAACCTCTGAACCCAAGTTTCTTTTTCTATTCCCAAGCTTCACTAAGCTTAAGGAAAAGTGAGCATTTTTTGTAAGAAAGTGATGAGCTTTGCTGATGCAACATTTCGAATGCAAATATTTCATCTCAATTTCAGATTTTTAATAATATTTAATTGATTCTAATCAAGTAGAATAATTTATTTAAATTTTTGATCTGATCCGGTCTGATGATACACGCCTACGTGTACTATCATCTTACCAACTTGTTACAGCCTCAAAGAGCTGATAAGTTAGATGAAGAGAAACAACTAACGGCCGCCCAAATAGATAGCTACCGACAAGCCCAAACCAAGAACCTGATGTGTCTCACAACCAACATAACTAACCCATGCCCAGACACCGAAAAAACACACCCAAAAATTAAATACATATGGCTTCGTAACAGCTACCAAATAACAATACTAATGTGTCCTTTTCTTTAATTAATTCTCTACCAAATTTCTTAGCCGTCAAACACGTTAGACGTTTGAATTATATATTATATTCAATTATGATTTTATTCTATTTTTAGAAGAAAAAAATAGAAGCTGAAATTGTAATCTTCTATTTCTGTTATAAACAGAGGTTTTTATGGATGGATATTGCATTTAAATTTTGTGTTTACGGTTCAATTAATGAACGTGGTTAATTTTGAGCAAGCGTCTTCCACTTCAACTAATAACTCAATCATAAAATTAATTAAAAAGAAAAAGAAAAGTTTTTTCATAGAAAGCATATAGTTTTATTAAAAATAGAAAATATTCAAAATTACAACTTAAAATGTAATTATGACATTTTTCTTATTACCATTTAAACAAAAACTAGTCACCTATATCACATAAGGACCAAAGAAGAAAAATGTTAAAAAACCTAACAAAAATACTCGAACAAAATGAAAATACGGAGAAATCTAACTGCATCGACAAACGAACCATAAAAGGGAATGAAGCTACTGAAAGACCACCGACAAATCGTAAATCAAAGTCGAGCGACGTGAGAAAACTATCTACGAACGCAAAATGTGTATCCAAATCAATAAGAGGGTCCAAAGCAGAAAAGATCAGCATGATAACAAATAAGTGTCATATTGATCAGTCGTGGCAATGTTAAATCCAACACTAAGAAAAAAGATAAATGAAAACAACTGTTAAAAAAACTAAAAACTACCAAAAGACAGATAAATGTGCCCCAAAGGCAGAGATATACGTATCACAAATACAAAATTATTCTTATTAAAAAACTAAAAAAAAAAGACAACCGACAGTCGGCAACCAGTATCAAAACTGGTGCCGTTGACGGTTAAGCAAAATCAAAAAAAGAAATCGATTCGATCTATAAAAATAACACAAATTATAAAAGAAAAAGGAGGGGAGAGGACGAAGGGAGCGGTAAAATAAAAAGAAAAGTTGAAAATACATATGTTTCAATTTGCAAACCAATATTAATTTAGAAAGCTATTATTTATGCCCAATTTTTTTGGAAAGGGAATTTTGTATGATATTTATATATCATACATATATAAAACTAGACAAAAATACGAGTGTCATTAAAAAATTCTTTAATTCTAAATAGAAGAAAAAGAATACGCCATTGTCAAAATAAAAGTCGATATGTATACAATAGATCATCAAACTGAACAACACCACAGTCATCACCAGAACCATAATAGGTCTGTGAAATCCAATGGACCGACAATCCATCCATTATCTAACTGTTTCCCAACAATAGCTTATCACAATACGACCAGACCACTGCCAGCCACACGACACACTCAACACAGACCCCCAGCATGAATCATTGAATCAGCAGCTCCGACATATAAGCCAACATTATCTTTTGAAAGTAGCCCAAAAGCTAGAAGAAGGGCTGCTAAACCAATCTCCATTAAGATCTAGCTCTGCTGATCTGCAATTTACCAATCTAACTTGTGATTGCATTTAATTTGATATGGAAAAGTAGATAATTGAAGCCACCTTTAGGTAAGAATTTCCATGCCATTAATTAACATCGCATGTTTTCATTTTCAACTCTCAACTTCCAACAAAGAAAAAAGTAGGTTTATAGGGCTGCTTCGGCAGGTCATTTTCTCTTTGGAATTAAAAGGGGTCATTCTATCCCGTGATGAATACAGCTTCTTCATGTTTTTACTTTAATTAGTTAATGTATTGGGAGAGTATTAGGTTGAAAAGGAAATGCGTGTTTGTTTGTCCCACTTTCCTTCTCTGTAGATTTTTTTTTGCGAGTTTTCATTCTTACTTTTGAAAACCAAAACTATTGAGCGTGAATCATGGCGTCATATGTATAATCATTCGTTTAAATTGATTAGAGGTGTTCGTGTTATTTTAAAATTTTAATTTCAATTCACATACTTTAGTTTCGTGATATTGAACCTAGGGGTGAATAAAACATAATTTGATTCGAAAAACTAACTTTTTCAAGTCAACTTGACTTCGAGTTGTAATTTCGTAAACTCGACTCGAAAATTCTTTTAGTTCAAATCGAGCTATAAAATACAACCAGAATAACTCGAAATTTTTAGTAATTAGTGGTTTGATTTTCAAGTTAGAGTTGAATTCCCCAACTCTGTATGATATATGTATATCACATAAAAAATGAAGAAATATGTATGTATCGTAGATGGTTATAAAAATTATTTAAATCGGAATTAAATAATATCATAATATTATAAATATTTACAATAAAATTTAAATAGAAACTCAAACTCAACTTAACTAAAAAAACTCCAAATCAAGTTTGAGTTATAAAATAGGATTATTCAACTCGAATAACTCAAAATTTTTTTGACTCAACTCGACTCGACTCGATTGAACGCTCACCCTTAATTAAATCTCAACACTATTTTTCATTTTTAAAATTTTAGCTACTTTCTTAATATAATATAATATAATATAGATCCATATGATTCCTATATTCTATTAGGAATATCGTTTTGATTATGATAATAAAAATGGGTTGCCCGGGACTCGAACCCGGAACTAGTCGGATGGAGTAGATAATTTCCTTGTTAAAATGAAATTGAAATTTCATTAAATTTTATTAATCATTACATAGTTATACAACACAACACAACACAACACAACACAACACAACACAACACAACACAACACAACACAACACAACACAACATAATATAATATAATATTTAATGTCGTAAAATTAAAACATAAGAATTTAAATTTAAATTTTAAAATAGCATAATTACCCTTTACATATTTAAATCATGTGTGTAGTTATTAGGAGGAAGAAGGAGAGAATCAGAGATTGCAAATGATCAATCTCATGATCTAATGTCAATCATTACTCTCTTGCTGATACATAGGGACAAAACCATAATTGAATTATGATGGGACGAAATTACTCAACCTTGAAACCAATAAAAGATTAACAAATAAATAAATTATAAAAATTTAAAAGATGAAACTTAATTTCATAAATATTAAAATAAAAAGAGTTTTGAAAATTAATTAAATTGTAAAAGTTAATACTTAACAAACCGAAATCTTATGAAGGTTTGGGCTTTGTCGATATAAGAGTCAAGAATCGATCACTTTTAAATAGTGGATTTGGAGATTCGGAACGAGTCTAAATGTTTGAGGAGAAAAATCATTGATGCTAAGTATGAGTCTAATAGAAATTCGTTGCTTCCAAGGCCTGTTCAAAGCAGGAAGGCATCTTGGTTGTGGAGAAGCATCACTTCACCATTGACCAAAAATAAGGATAAACTCACTCGATAGTTAAGTAGTGTTGTGGGAGATGGGAGTAAGAATGAGTTTTGGGAGGGCCATTGGACAGATGTTCCCTCCCTAAAATTGGCATTCCCTAGAATTTTTGGGATTGCAATTCGTAAGAGTGAAAAAAATCAAGGATTTTGGGATCTACCCAAACGTGGAGTTTCAGTTTAGGAATCTAATCTTCGTGTGCTCTGTAAGGAGTCGGAATCAATCTTGCATTTCCTGGATCGGTACAAGCTCTGCTCATTCTGTGGTATCATAAAAAAATTCGCATGGAAGCATAAGCAATCTAGATTATGAGCTTTTTTGGGTTTGTATGGGCTAGGACTGCATTATCTTCAATAAACGTTCAATCAGCGTGGAGAGATTATTTGATGCAGCAGTGTTGTTGACAGGAATCCGGTCCAAGTTCAATTGGCCGTCGCTTATCATTTCCGTTCAAGACTTTATCCGGCGGCCTGATGCAATTCAAATTCAAAAATAGGCGAGTGACTGCTGCTTTGATGTCCTAATGATATCCTAAAGTTAGATGAGTGATTGTGATGTTGTTTTGTGTTATGTGGCGATCCCCTAATTGGTGCTAAGGTCTATATAGGATAGTAATTGTTTTATGGTTCTTAGTGTTTTGCTTTACCCTGGAGATATTGTGGATCTGGTCTGGTTTATGTTATGCTTGTGCTGTGTGTTTGTGTTTGGTAGGGTTGTAACTTGTAAGCGTTTGTTTGTAGTTTGGTGATCTTATGTTCTTCAATTTTTGTTAGCGTTGGTGCTAGGTGTAGCAGTTTTGGGATCTATACTGTTAAATATGGTTCCTTGTATGAACTGATTGGATTACTTGCGTATCTGTGGTGCACCCTTTTTCCTCTAAATAGGTTGGTCATTTTTTAATGGAGTCTATGATTATGTTCTGTTTTGTATGTAGTATTGATAAATCCATACAAAACTCTCCTTTTTCAAAAATAAAAATTAATTTTATTATTTATAAAATGACATGATCATAAAAACCAATTCAACTAAAATTTATTATTATACTTCAAAAATTATATTTAACTTGATTTGATTATACAAGGTAGCTTTAGTTATTTCTAAACATGAGAGTAATTTTATCAAAAGAAAAATCAAAGTAATATTAAATTTAATTCGAAGAAGCACTTGCAACCCCAAATGGAACTTGAACGAATTTGTCAAAGTACGTATGTAAATCGGTAAATGTCAATTACTTCTATTAGTAGTTTTTAGGGTTCGATTAGCAAGTTAATATTAAACATATGAAAAATTATATGTGGAAGTATGTTTAAATATTTAATATACTTATATTAATTTTTTTTAAATTTTATAAATATTTTTAAAAGGTTTAATACAAAAATAAGTGACTAAACTATATTTGGAAAAACGTTTTAGTGTCTAAAGAATTTTTCACTAAAAAAATGTGCTTAACGTTTTTTCCGTTATCATTTTAGGTGCCGACGTTAATTGTCGTTAAAAAAATCCCGTTAAGTGACACATTATGGTATTTTTAAAAAAAATATTTTATATTAAAAAAAGCACAACTACACAGTCGTGCTCCCCATTCTCCCCGTCCCCTGCCATGGCCAACCAAACGGCAAACGACCGACCACCATATCCTGTCAAACGACCGATTGTCATGATCGATCTAAAGAATTTTTATAGTTTCAAAACCCTAAAATAAATATTTTCAATTACACCATTTTTCGGTGCTCGATTGGTTGCCAAAGCATGGGGATTTTGGTCATGGGTGGTTGGTTGAACATACGTCGTTAGGTGTTTGATCGATTGACGGTGTTGGTGGTGATCGATGGTGGCAAAGGGATTAAAATGAAGTTTCTAAAAGTTTTGGATTTTTTTTTAAGATTTAAAAAAATTAGATTTTTTTAATTAGATTTTTTATTTTTATTTTAAATAAAAATTACTAAAATTATCATAGCGTGACACGTGTCACATAACAGTATTTTTAATGGTGGTTAACGCCGAACACCTACAAGTGTAACGGAAAAAACGCTATAAACCTATTTTTAACATGAAAATTTTTTTAGGCACAATTTTTTTTTCGAAGCATAATTAAGAAATTATTTTTATATTAATCCTTTTAAAAATAAAAAACAGATTGTGGTGAATCTTTTATATAACCACCCAAAATCAAACAGTCAAAGCAAGCAAAGTAGCTAACCGTGGAGGGAGCATTACTTTATAAACCAGAGCAAAGCAAAGCAAAACAAAACAGAGTCGAGGAAAAGCCGCTTAACGAAGGCGAAAACCTTGAAGACTCTCTGCCCCTTCTGTTTTCCCTCGCACAAAGACCTCAAACCCCCATATTTCCCTCAATCCTTTTTGAATTCGTTTCTCATTCTTTCGCACCTACAATTGTTAACGTTTTCAGTGTGAAATTTGTGTGTTTATTGCTCAGCCTCTTATTTTTGTTTTGCAAGTTTTGATGGCGCAAAACTCGCATCAATACCAGAAGAACGGTGCTGATAATGAAAACAGTGATGCATTCATCGCTGCAAAGCCTACAACCAAACGGAAGCGGACTCGTAAAACTGCTCCCCGTCACTCTCCTCCCCAACGTACCTCCACTTATCGAGGTGTTACAAGGTTATTAATCGGTCATACATATATACATACTTGCAATAAATACAGCATTATTGTCCGTTCTGGGGATCGGCGATCTTTCTTGGTCATCTTGTTCTAATTTTTTGCTTCCGTTCTGTTTTGACTTGTCGACACTTTAATTCATCGGTTTAATTAATCAGGCACCGATGTACGGGACGATTCGAAGCTCATTTGTGGGATAAGGATTGCTGGAATGAATCGCAGAACAAAAAAGGAAGACAAGGTAATAATAATAATAACAACAATAATCCTTCTTCCTCACATCTTTTCCTCTTCCTACGGCAGTAATTTTTTTACAATCAAATTAATAACTCAAAGTTATTTCTATTGAATTTCATGGTTTGGACGGAAACTGAAATTAATGCAGTATATTTAGGTGAGTTTCATCACTCTGGTGATCTTTCTTTTCCTCCCCTGACCACCTTTAAATATGTCTGTCATACGAGAACTATATTCTTGCCATATATAATTCAGATTCATCGGAATTTAATGGAATTCATTATTTTGGATGTATTGGTATTTTGGTTAGGTGCTTATGCCGATGAAGAAGCGGCAGCACATGCATATGACTTGGCTGCATTAAAGTACTGGGGACATGATACTATCCTCAATTTCCCAGTATGTTAATTTCACTTGGAAATTTCCCCTCATCACTTTATCTGTTTTTGTTTACAGAAAGAAAACTTCAAATGTTTGCAGTTATCAACTTATGAAAACGAGCTAAAGGAAATGGAGTGTCAATCCAAAGAAGAATATATTGGATCTTTGCGCAGGTAATACTGAAAAAAAGGGTGTAAAAATACCATTATAAACATATATATTTAACCCATGATTTGATCATTCATATTTTTCGGTTTAATATTGAAAGGAAAAGCAGCGGATTTGCTCGGGGGGTCTCGAAATACAGAGGCGTAGCCAGGTGAGATTTCTTTTGCATTAAATGTAAGTTCAATTTTGTGGGGTTGATGGCCCTTCAATTTATCTTGTAGGCATCACCACAATGGAAGATGGGAAGCTCGAATTGGCATAGTTTTTGGCAACAAATATCTCTACCTTGGAACATATGGTAATTTTATTTGCTTAAATTGCTTACAATTAGATATACGCAATCGCAAAAGGCAAAACGATGAGAATGAATTGTAATAAAATCCAGGTGGTTGAGATATGGTTTACCAAACTTCAACACCCCTGCCCACTCGCCTATTTAATATTTGGAAAAGTCAATTGTCCTAACTCTCCAACTCTCCACCCAATTATGCATGCATATTTACTTCACCTTTATTATATACATTACTTCATTTATATGATCTCTAGCTGGTTAGTCTAGTTTCATTGATCAATGGTTGATAGTAATTAATTGCCCTTTTTTTCAGCCACACAAGAAGAAGCAGCGATGGCATATGACATGGCCGCCATAGAATACAGAGGACTTAATGCTATTACAAACTTCGACCTAAGTTGTTACGTTGATTATATACGTTCAAATCATCGAAATCAGTCGAATGATTCTGAAAATCATGAACGAGATCTCAAACACGATATCGATTCTAAATTAGGGTTTTTCATCGAGTCTCAAACTATCTTTACAGGTGATAAACGATTAATTGGTAACAAGGACTGTGCTAGATCAAAATCATCAGCACTGGGTCATTTGTTGCGATCGTCGAGATTTAAGAAAATGCTAGAGAGGACCTCGGCAACAACGCGTCCATCAATGCCACCGAAACCCGATGCACCTCGTCGAAGCTTTCCAGATGACATTCAAACATACTTTGATTATCAAGATTGTAGCAGCTATACCAAGGATGATGATATTATTTTTAGCGATCTAAATTCACTAGCGATACCATTGTTTCATTGTGAACTTGATGGCTAGATTCAATAATGAGCTAAGTGGATTTAGTGGCAATAACATAATTAAATTTGCAGGGATGGAGTTTGTTTATTTGTACTGGTTCATTTAAGTGTAGATAAAGACGTTCATTTTTCAAGTATTTTTAAATATAAAATAATTGGCACGTTCATTTTAAAAAGAAAATTTATAAATTAGTTAATTCATGCAGGCATGTATCTAATCGTTTGCGAGCAACTTGTGAAGCTGTCTTAGTTGACCAATCAAGTATTTTTAAATTTGCGAGCAAATTTTGTTATTTTATATAAAATATAAGTATTTTTTTATTAATATGAGGTAAGTATAAGATAATATTTGTTCAGTGAGAATTCAATTATTTGACATTGAACGCTCATCCTTCTGACATTCATGATATTTGAACCCGAGATTTCAAAGAATAACAATAACTCCTCTGCAACCAAATCTCTTGGTTTGTGCATAAAATATAAATAAATAATAATTGATTGAATAAAATATTAAGATTTTAAGACACTACGACTTTATTAAAAGGTTTAATACCAAAAGAAGTGCTCAAACTATATCCAAAATCTCAAATAGGTGCCTAAGCTATTTTTTGACTCATCTTGATGTCTAACGTTACAAACGTTACCCGTTTAAGTACCCGGTCAACGACGTTGATTTGTTCGTTAAGTGATATGTGTCATAATCTGGTAATTTTAAATTTTTATTTTTTAAAAAATTAAAGATTAAAAATAATTTAATTTAGAAAAAGCCCTAATTTTTCAAAAATATCAGCAACAAAAAACCTCGAAATCTTAAGATTTCTTATTCTAGTCTCATTTACTCTGACCTCCGGTTATATCTCCGACAACTCATTCACCGACGACCAGCCACCTATACGTCATCGACCGCCTAATGACCTGTCATAATTTTTACTTTCATCTCTAAACCTAAAATTCTCAAATCCCTAAATTTAAATTTTTAATCCTTAAAATCTCAAAACACTCATTCCTTCAAATTTAATCGTGATAATTGGCCCTTTCGTCGACTGTGGCAGCAGGCCATTTGATCGGTCATTTGACCATTGGCCGTTTACCCTTTGAGGGGAAAAGGGGGAGCACACAAGGAAGAGAGGCCTTTGGCAATTTGATTTTTTTTAATAATATTTTTAATTTTTAAAAAAATTAAAAAATTAAAATTATAAGATTGTTACACGTGTCATTTAACGGTTTTAATAACAATCGTTACGACCAAGACACCCAGATAGATAACGTTTATAACGTTAGACACCGAGATGAGTCAAAAAATAATTTAGACGTCTATTCGAGATTTTAAGTATAGTTTGAACATTTATTTTAGTATTAAGCCTTATTAAAATTTGTAAAGTTGTTAAATCCTTCACAGCCGCTCATTTTAAAAAGAAAATGTAAATAATTTGTTAAAGCCGGTGCTGTTGGGAAGCCCGAAAATTGTTTCTGAAACTGTCTTCAAGGCCTTGTAGAGTGTTGGAGGAAGCCTCGTGATAACGGTCCAGGAGTCGATAAGCATCTTGGTCTTCCTGATGCTTGAATCTTGCAGTGTCACCCCACCAACACTGAAGCCAGTAAGGTTGAGGAAATAGAAAGTTGATAGCTTTGGATTTGGGATCATTCTAGTGTAAGAGAAGGGGTTGAAGTATTGTAAACTGATGAACTGCCTCCCAGAACTAATGAACCAGAAGCCCCGGATTCTCTTGAAGGCAGACAATAGGAAAAAAAACCACCAAATATTGCCCAAGTTTGAGAAACCTGAGAGATAGAACTCCTCCCTAGTCCCAACAGGCCAGAAGCTCAACCGAACAGACCTTTATTATTCCGGCCGCACCCGAATACAGAATTATCCACCGGAGTCTTGCCTAGATTGATATGATCATGAGCTAGATCACCACGAGTGTAGGGTCCATCACCATAGCTAACGATATAGTTACATGTCGGCGGGTTTCCCCCACATATTCCCGTGTTCCCAGTTGCAAATGCAAGTGACTGACACACAGATGGATTGCATGAGACTGTTCGGTAGGAAGGAGATGCTTCAGGGTTGAAAAATGGCCCTTTTTGACCATAACATGATTTGCAAGGCTGGCATTGAACCCACGTTAAATCACTTCCGGTGTCGACAATCAGTCATTTTCCGACCACCTATTTCCACCGTAACAATGTAGTTTAGTGTCCTGAGTTCGACACCAGAAGTTAAGGGGATTCGAGCAACCGGAACTTGTCGTGTTTCGGCAGGTGCCATCCATGTTTTGATTCGGGCTTGCAATGATCCAACTCTTAGATCATTCGAAATCGGGCGTTTTTGAAGTAACTTGTTCCAGTCTTTGTGCCTTCCTCCAATCTCGGTGCTTCATTTCCAATATAGTCGCACCTTTCTCCTTCCCTAAACATCCAAAACCAAAGGGGTAAAGATATATAATCAAACATATTATTGGATTAAGAAAGATGAAAGCATAACAATGACTTAAAAAAGCAAATTAAACCAAAGAGAGAAAAGGAGAAAACCCCATAAACTTTAAGCAAAAGGTTGTAATGCAAGAAAAAGCAGTAAATACATGTTTGTATGTATGGATTTGACGGCAAGGGCGGTTGCATCCCATTATTTTGGGAAAATAATTAAATTTAACTTGATATGTTAATGAAACAAGAAAAAATAAATATTTTGCATACCCATTATTTTTAAAAAGAGAAAATTAAAATTTTAGACCCCAATTTGACGGCAAGGGCGGTTGCATTCCATTATTTTGGGAAAATAATTAAATTTAACTTGATATGTTAAGGAAACAAGAAAAAATAAATATTTTGCATACCCATTATTTTTAAAAAGAGAAAATTAAAATTTTAGACCCCAATTTTAAATTTCTAGATTTGCTGATTCACATTATAAAAGTAAAAGCAGTAAAACCCATTAGTTAAGCTAAATTGAGAGGTTGAGATATTTATTATATAATAAAAGTAAAAGCAGACAGAAGCCAATTATAATTGCATAATCTAACCAAAGCAAAATCAAGATAAACTCAAAGTACAGTTTATGTAGTTTTCCACTCTGGATTAAATGTAAAGAGAGAGGGAGAGAGGGGGCAGGGCAATAATGGGTGTCTCCCACAAGGCATGAAGCCATGAACACAGTTATGGACCCTATTCCTATCCCTAGTAGGAAAAAGAAAATGAGAACAGATACAGTGATGGAGATGCATCCCAGAGTGGAAAATAAAATAAAGGTGAAGTTTGGACAAGCAATGTAATGAATGTAGTTCATTTCATCTGATAACACGCAGAGAGAGAAAGAAAGAAAGAAAAAGAGAGCTTACTTGATTTACGAGAACGAGACAAACAAGTATGGGAATTGTGGTTCCATTGAAAGCGGCGTTGTTGCAGGTTGAGGAGCTGCTTGTCTCCATAACAGTGAACCCCATTTTGGGCGAGGAGGAGGAAAGCTACGAGCCAAAGCATAAATGGGACAAGGGCCATTGCTGAGGGGAGAGCAAAGAAAACAGGAAGAAATAGACCAAGGAATAGAACAAAAGAGGAAGGGCTGGCTGGCTAAAGGTCCCACTGCTGCATGAGAAGAATTATTAAGGGATTCACAAAAACCATCCTCAATTTCTCAGCATATTTTAAATACGAATAACTCTTAACCGCATCTCATTAAACAAATATACATATAGTAATCTTTTAAGTATTAATTGTAGCATTTACAATTTTCACGGACCAAATAATATACAGGAGAAGTTTTTTTTTTTTTTTAAATATATATATATATATATATATATATAGTAGTATATGGTTGGCTAATGTGAGGAAAGGGGCTTGCCTCTTCACGGAATCTACTGTTTTCTGCAACCCAATACTCTTCTCTCTTTTTTTTACATTTTATATTATATAGTAACTCACCCGACCTTCAATTTTATGTACCCCACATTCTTTTGCATGCTTGTAGTCGGACCATGCAGTTTTGGAATCATGGTTGTGACTGTTGATTATGAATGTTATTTGAAATCTAGTGATGATGTTATTGTTGTTCACATATCAAGGGCTCATATATTTTTAAACCATCCTAATTAGTGTATACCCAATTTATCTGGTCTTAGATAGGGGTGGGAATAGGTCAGGCCGGCCTACAGGGGCCTGGGCTTGACCTGTATAAAGTTTGACCTAACCTGATTTATTTAACTAAACAGGCTAAACCCAGGCCTTTTTAAAAGCTTATTTAACTAAAAAAGTCAGACTTAAGCTTATTAAAAAGCCTTATAAACTTGATAGGTCGGCCTATTTAGAGTGATTACTTTGTAAAATATACTAATTTAGAGTGACTTAATAGGGATTTTACTCTAAAATTAATGACTAAACTAAAAATATTAAATATTTATTGTTAAACAGACTTTTAAACAGGCCAGGCTTTTAAACATACCCAGGTCAGGCTTAAATAAAAGTCTTTGACAGGCCACATGTCAGGCCCAGGCCTACACAAATCATTATAGGCCAGGCCCAGGTCTATTAAAGTCTGACCTGGCCTGGCCTATTCCCATCCCTAGTATTAGAGAAAATATAGATAATGAATATTGTTAAGGTTTTTAAAAAAAAAATTATATCAAAACTAATAAGTTTGATTTTAAAGAAATAATTGTCGCTCAAAATATGTTGTATTGATTTTATTTATTTTAAAAAACATTTACTATTACATTATATCAATTTGATCCAAATAATTATGAAATTTTAATTTATATACTGAAAATTGAATCAAATAAATGAAAACAAACCAAATTACTTGGCGATAAATGAGATAAGGCGGCTAGTGTGTTTTCGCCGTTGATTGGCGATGGTATGACAAAGTTGACTTTCTCATACAAGTGGTTTGTTGAGGCTCACAGTTTATCATCTTTTACAGATTCTGTTCAAAGTTGGATCTTATACATGGGGATTGAATAAACAAAGTGAAAAAATAATTAGTAACATACTAGTTAATCAGAATACAATCTAACTAAAATAAGAGGAGTGAACCATCTACTCTGCTTTCAGTTGCTTTCCTCCTGCAGCACGCATTAGTGCAAGAGCAAGGGACCCCACCATCCCAGCCACATAACCAGCCATGGCTCCATAACTCACACAGATTGGCCAATCCTAACAAGTCATCCGAAGGAGATGAAATAAACCATACACACAAAAAATCAAGAATAATATCAACCATTAAAGGATACGCCTGGTTGTATCTCATAGCTAATGTGAACAAAGAAAAATCATATTAGCCACTTCGATAAACCACTCGTTGACAAAAATGCCTGTTAAATAAGCATGACTAACATGAGCGGAAAGGCATACTTCGATTACCCTAATGTTGAGACTGTTAAAAGATAATATAGGGTCAGGCTGGTATGCCACCAAGAATTTAATGGCAGAATTCAACCATAAAAGGGAAAGGTTCATAGTAGGGGAAAGGGTAATAGTGTATAAAACAAGTATCCAAAATTTGAGTACAGGAATGAACATAAATCTCAATGAGAAAGACAAGAACTTAAATTAAATGTGAAAACCAAAATTCTAAGTCACAATGAATCAAGAGGAGGAGATGCTACCTGCCAAGGACGTTCCCAATCAAGTGGCATAGGACAAGCACCAAACCAAGCTCCAATGACAGCTCCATGCGCTGGTAGACAAAGCATAAAATCCAAAGGTCCATTCGGCCTGAAAGAATGATACCAAACATCTATATCAGCAGATACTAAAACCCTAGCAAAAAAACTGCATTTCAAACAAACATTATTCAGGTGAAAACAATTCCTAGATGGATAAGAAATCAGCCTCTTTATATGGATAATCAGATTTTCTATAGAAACGTTCACCTAACACTCCAGTTTATATTGAAAACTAACTATATGAACCATAAAGCTTTTCTACTAAAAAAGGCATGTTGTGAAACTTTACTCTCGTTTCTACCTGTCAAGCTTTAGATAACAAATTTCCCATAAAATGATTAAGTGAACAAATTGCATTGATGTTCTAAAGGCCACCCTACTGCATGCTCTTTGACTCCCCCTCCCCCCCTTCTCCACACACAAATACACCAAATGAAAGCTAAAACTATAGAAAAAAGCAGCTGCCTGTTGAAAAAATTATACATGTTTTAAAGAGTGAAGCCAGATGTTCATCTGTGAGTTGGTACCGAAACTAATAAAGTAATATGGTAAATACAAAAGTTGTTACCAATAGCAAGTCTAATATAACTTGAAAAATGAACAAACACATAAAAAAAGACTCATAATGTCCATGGGAAAAGGCAGAGCCAGCATTTACATAAGCTGTAGGCATAAGAAACACAAGCTGTACATGCAAGTCAGCATCTACAAGAAACACTTACTTTGTACATGCAAATATGCGATGCCAATCTGTCCAACATGAACCATAAACACAAAATGTAGGTACAAACTGTAAAAACGCACCAAAACATAAATTAGTGCATGTATGGTGAGTAAAGGTTCACATTGCTGGTAATTTTGAAGAACAAAATACAACTAGAAATTCAAATAATTATGTCAGAACAGAAACTCATCAATACTGCCTATTGACTAAGAGGAAACATGAACAAATTAAAAATCCAACATGGTATCCAAGTGAGGATAGCAAACAAGGGGCAAAAAGGAGAGAGGAACAGAACCATGATATACCTTTAGGATTTTATAAACAAAATTAAATGAAATAAATATGTAAAAGGAAACATATTGCTGCCCGATTATGCATGCCCAACACAGAGAGGATAGAAGAGTTGAATTTTAAGCATTCAAAGATGTTTGATAATGCTAGATGTCAGAAAATGTAATATAAACAGACAGTAGAATTAAAACTTGGAAACTTACAGTCAATGAAGACATCAGAAGAGACCAACTAACTGTCCTTTCAAAGTATCTGCATACAACAACAGAGGAATACAGTTAATGCATGATTTTTCAATAACTCGCTTCTAAACCATAATTAAAACTGAAAAGCAAGGCCAATTGGCTGCCTTGCATAATATTGTCACAACCATAGTAATAATGCTAAGGATCGCTTACTGCAATCCGACGGGTGCCCCCAAAACTAACGCTCCAAGCGCATTTAAAAGAGCACCTAGAAATCAGAAGACATACAAATTATACAAATATACTGCTGAAAATATAGTATTCAAGTGGCATTATCAGCTTAACACTAACCGAAAGGAAGTCCCAGCAAACCTCGGCAAATAGCTTTCAAATACTGTAAAAGCCCAATATAGAAGAGTTCCGTAAAACACTTGAAAATAAGAAATAGTAACAAAAGTTGAATTGAAATTGTTGGCTAACCGAGCATTTCTGTCTACAACAACTGAAAAGAAGGATAACAACCGGGAATTCAACAGCCTAACAAAGAAAAATAAATCATTAAAAACAAAAGGAAATTGGAGACAATGAAGAAAGTAAAGAAATTTGAGGGGGGTACCCAGATCAAACGAAGAGTGGCGGAGGGATCAGAGATGAGATTGATGGAATAAATATTGTGGGCCACCCAAAATCCAACGGCCAAGGCTAGCCCGCAGCAAACATGGATCGAAAATACTTGGAAAGATGATATTGTTGATCGGGAGCTCTTCTCCTTCTTCATTTACCTGTCAGATTTTGTTTTTGAAAGCTCTAATCGGAAAGAAGAAAAAGAAGTTAGATAGGGTTTTCTAACCGCTTCACTGTTAATCTGCTTTTAGCTTTCGATCCGACTCTGGTTAACAAAATCTTTGTGATGATGGTATGTACGGACTGATATATGCGGTATATGGTTTGTTCTTATTGGTTTTATTAGTAAATTGACCCCTTTAAAAATAACTTTTTAAAAAACAATAAAAATAATTTATTGGATGTTGTACACTTCTAGGATGAAAAACAAAGATAATTTTTAAGTATTGCTTAAAATTAAAAAAAAATCAAGAATTAATTTAAGAATAAATTTTCTGATAATTTAGGAAATATTGCTAAATACATCATTAAAGACTACAGTTATATTTGCTTGATCTGATCATTTCTATATGAAAGGTGGAGAGGATATACAGGAAGATGCATTTAATGATGTTTTATTGGAAGCAAATTAGAGTCATTTGGGATAAGACTGATGGCTTTCCTAGATAAGCAGCCATATAAGAATAAACTTATCTCTTATGCCTAGCATATTGGTGGCCGTCTACTCTTTGTTTATTAGGTTAGGGATTAATGTAAATTTTTATGTTGGGATAAATTTATAAAAGTTTAGGAAAAGTAAATTTATAAAATTTTAAAATATTATTAGTAAAAATATTTAAAATATATGAGAGTTTTAAGGACAGGCTTTCATTTTAAGATACTGCATTCAGAAATTGCTTTGGGCTAGTGTGGAATTGAAGTCAAGTCTTTGCATGTAGGGATGGCACGGGTCGAGTTTGGGCCAATCCGACTCGATCCGATTCAAAAATTCTACATCCTCTATTCGAACTCGACCCGATTTTTTGAGACAAAATTCAAACCTGACTCGACTCGACACGAAATAATATAAATATTATTTTTATTCAATAAAAACAGAGATTTAATTGAAAAAATAATATGTAGATGCCCATCCCTATTTGCATGAAGTTGGCTTAGAATGGATGAAAAATTCTAAGGTACAACCACTTAATATAATGCTTAGGAAAATTCGCAACCTAAAATATTATAAACAACATAATATTTTAGGTTACGCGCAACCTAAAATATTAATTTTTTCTTACTTTTTTTTCGACTGCAAACCTTATTCGTAATATTTTAAGTTATTAAGTTACAACAGAAAATGTTATCTTTTTCATAATATTTTAGATTAAACCGAAAATGTTAAAAAATATAATCTTTTATGTTACGCGCAACATAAAATGTTACGTTGTTTATAATATTTTAAGTCACATCTTTCTTTATCCTTGTATTAGGTTACATTACACATATTTGATTTAAAAAAAATATATATAACATTTGGATAAATTAGTAAAAAAAAACATGCACCTTTTTTTTACTGTAGCAGGGGAATCGGTTCCCTGTTTGCAATCTGAAAAATTTTGATTTCACGGTACTGTTCATGGTATTGTTTAACATTGTTCATGGTATTGTTTATTACTTTTCATGGTATTGTTCATACAGTATTTTACTGTTCATAAATACGTTTTTCCCTTAAAATTTTATAACAAACATTATTTAATAGTATATTATCATATTTTCTTAAAATATGTTCAAATATTATGTTATTTGGTAAGAATATTGTTTTAAAAAGACAATGTGACATCTCGGACTCGTATTCGGGTCGAGTATGAATTGGGGTGTTACATCTTTCTTTAGCCTTGTATTAGGTTACATTACACATTTGATTTTAAAAAAAGATATAACATTTGGGTAAATTAGTAAGAAAAAAAAAACATGCACTTTTTTTTTTTTATGGGCGATGGTGGAGAAAGAATTGACATCTTATTCGATGGCTACTTTTGCTTAACTACACCCCTAAACTACTTTACCATTGTTGATCAACCACAATCTAATGCTTTTAGGAAAATGAACCATATTTAATTATTCTATTCTTGCATCAACCAGAACTTTTATATTAAACTGTGAAACGGTAACTTATTGAATGTTTGTTGACCATATTTAAATTTTTAATGTATTATTATTTTATTACTTTTAATAGAAAGATTAGAAGCCTAGGGAAGGAGGCTTGCGAAGCTAAAGATCCATACGGTCACGATCGAACAAGTGCTGGATGCCAGCGGGGTGGTCTTCAAGGATGGTGAAGACACCATCATGAACAATGGGGAGCTTGGCGATGAAGTCTGCAGGGCTGTTTCCTTCTCTCGGAATCCATCAGACTTCCGAATGCCACACTTTGGTCCGAATATTGTCAATAGTACGCACCAACGACCGAGGAGAAGAGGAGGCAGCAAGGTCGTTGATCAGATGGACCGCTTGATGGCAGTCAGATTGAACTTGGATAGTTTCGAATCCTTGCTGCCAGGCGAAGTATAAAACGTCGTGAATAGCCCAAAGCTCAGCATGGAGAGGTTACAGAATGCCCACTCCTTTGTGAAAGCCTATAATCCAGTTTCCGTCGTTATCTCGAATGAGGCCACCGATCGAGCCTTCACCACTCGGCTGGGAGACAGCTCCATCAACAATAAGACAGCAGCAACCTGATTCTGGCGCTTTCCAATGCCTGTTATCTTCTTCCAACACGGGATTATGAGAAGGAGAAGGTAAGTTACCATTAAAATACCTCGCCCAGTTAATGCTTGCTCGCATAATATCCGGTTCAGAGATGGCTTCATTGTTGAAAATAAGATCGTTTCTTCTTTTCCAAAGGGACCGTGTGAGAGCTGCAAAAATAAATTTCCAAGGAATATTCCAACCAGCATGAATAATATTATCAATAATATTCACATGAATCCAAGAGTGAAGATCTAAAGAGGAGTTGTGCATATCTCGAGGGATAATTCGACTCCAAAGATTCGAGGTATTGGGGCTATCTCGAAGGGCATGAAGGGTCGATTCAACCGTGGCCGAGCAGAGCTGACAGCAAGCCGAGCCCGAGATGCCTCTTTTGCATCTTTCATCGCTAGTGAGCAGCTTACTTCGATAGGCGAGCCAGAAAAAACAGCGAATTCGCTGAGGAACAGGGGTACTCCAGATATCCTTCCAAATCGAGGACTTGGGGTCCCAATTATTAGCTCGAAGAGACTTATAAGCCGACTGGATGTCAAAATTGCGTCTTTAATATTTTTTACATCCATAAATAATTCTTGAAAAGCTTCGTCCAAGAACCATTACTATTATCGATATGTGCAGTTATTCTTCATCAACTATGATAATTCAAGTTATGGTTTTTTAAAAAATATATATAAAATTAGAAGTTAAATATAATAATAAAAATATGTTTTAATTCGTAAAAAAATTGTAATTCAAGTTAGATACTAGAAAAAAGAATCCGGTTGCGAAGAACTGGACCGTGAAATACTTGAGTAGACAATGGCATTACAGCAAAATAAATGACTTAAAAACAGTCCACGAGAAAACTGAAAAAATAAAATTGGTTGGGCATTTGCTTTTTGATGCCACGTACAGAAGATGATCCTTTATTCAGGCTACCTTTCTTCCATTCTTTTCATATTTCAATTATTCCTGCATAGATGGTTAAATACGACAATGGTCTTCCACATCTTCACCAAGTTCCCTTCTTCTCTTGAATTATAGGAAGAAGAAGAAAAAAGCGATTTCTTTCTTTCAAAACTATCAGTTGAAATTGAAAGGAATGACGTTGAAGTTTTTTGCATGGTTCATAGTTTTGTGGTGTACAACTAGCCTTTCATGCAGGAAGCTTGAAGGTTCCCCTTTACTAAAATATCCGGATGTCAATCTCTCGGGATCCGTTGTTCAAGGACACGACACCAATGGTAAAAATAAGAGTTCCATTGTTTTCATTTCCTGTCTGTTGAAATGGTCTTCCCTGAAACTAGTCGGAATTTCAGTGTTGAAGCATGCAGGTCTCAACAGCTCGGCAAAAGTTGACGACAAAGACGAATACTACAAGCAGCATCACAAAATTTTTCAGTCTGAGAAATCAAAGGGTGGAAAAGGTGCATACGGTGGTGCAAATGCCCCCCACCATCCTAACAAGAAAAACGCAGCTCCACCGCTCCTCAACCCACCTTGCCTTCTGTTACCTGTTGGGTTACATGTAATCTTCACCCTTATCCTATCATTTCCAGCTTTATTTCTCAATATCTTCTGACCATCACCAACTGCCAGATCCAACTTTTGGATGAAGCTCCAACGATTTGAAGTCTCTCTCTCTCTCTCGCTCGCTCTTTAAAGTTTTTGGTGGAAGATTTTAAGACAGAAAGGGAATGGTTATTTGAACTCGGTCCGTAACCTGTGTCTTTTGTTGCAGCTTGTTCCTACTTTCTACCCATTTATATATCGTTTAAATAAAGGTTTTGTTATTTATACAACTGAGTATGAAGTAAGAAATCTCTATCGGCAATCGTTTATTTATGCAAACATTCAGAATTGAGATGGTTTTGTAGACAAGTCAACTTTGAAAATAAACCCCCAAAAAACAAAAGAATTCGAACTTGAGAGACTGTTTCAAGATTGTGAAGCCGATACAATTGCAGTTTGTGTAATCTAAACAATGATACTTAAATTAGGATCATTTCATGCCAACATTGATATTGAACCGAAATTAGTAATCGTAAAACAACTTATGTCCAAACTTCTTTTTTCCCTATGCATAAGAATGTGGGCTGTAACAAGTAAAGCTTGAGAATGTATGAAAAAATGGGGAAACGAAACGTTTACCAGATCTAATAAACCAGGTTCGGGATATATTGTTTCTATATGTTGTGTGTTTTCCCCTTTAAAAGTCATAAAAGAGCTTCTCAAACACTTTCATGTGTTCGGTTTGCAAGGAGATGGCAACTGATAAGCTCCCATCATTGTTGGGGCTCGGTAACACGAAAGATAACCCCTCGTACGGAATACCTCCGGGACCCATAAATATCGGCCGTCCCCAGCCGAAATCCGCATCATGGATTGGTAGCCTAACCCAGCTAGTAATTCCAAGGTTTGGACACTTGAAAGTATGAGCTCCTCGAACAAGGGTTGATAAATCAGGCTGAAGTTCTAGGTAATCAAGGGCTGATCTTAGATATTCATCGTCCATCCGAGCCAATGCATCGTGAATACGGCTTGCAGCAAACCATGTTGGCTTTGACATTAGATCGCCTGCCACAGCGATTGGGGTAGCAGTGAAGATCACATTTCCAAAGTAACCAGGTGGAAGTGGAGGACGCAACCTAGACCTTCCATCAGTGGCGATGTACAATTTGGTCCCTTGATCATCGGTAAGTCCACGAGCCTTGCAGACCGATCTCCACACATGACCTGACAACATCTCGTATGAACTATAGTTAACACTGTTCCCATCTTCCTTGCTCTTGGCTTTGATTACATTGAGTTGTTCCCGGGTCAATTTGAAAATGGAGACTGCTGTGCTTTCAGGACCTGTGGACAGGGGTGGAATGTTCAATTCAGGAGGAGGTTGGTATTCAATGTGGTGGAATGCGGGTTGTGGAGGATCCCGGGCACGGAGAAGGGTCCGGTCAATGAACGGTGGAACCGTGAGGTCAAGACCACGAGCCATATCAGACCATGTATTGATAAAGTGGAGACCAGAAAATCCATCTGCTGCATGATGTTGCATGCCAACACCCAATGATGCACCACCACATTTGAAAAATGTGACCTGAACAGATACATGAACAAGAGCATGATGTATTCAGTTGTATTCAGAAATCTGCTATAATTGCTTCCAAAGTTATTCAACAAATACATGAACAAGAGCATGAAATCTAAGTATCCATTGCTTAAAATGAGGATTAGCCTAACTTCACCTGCAGGCCTAGAAATATACTACTAGATTAGACCCTAATGATAACATATATTAGGTTTCCACTAGCAAATTTGTTGGTGGTAGGCAACCACCAAAGCTCAACCGATAACGACACAACTCGTAAGGCAACTGACACGGCCAAAGGTTAGCTCCTAGTCCTACAGCATTCACATACGCACCAAATCATGCTAACCCACAAAAAGTTGGGACGCTTAGGCAGGGCAGCTAACAAACAAGTCAAATATAATGGCCCGTGTAGGCTAGTGGATCAAATCATTAATAAAGTGGGATGGTTTGCTGTTGTTTCACCAACTTCATCACTAAACTTGTTTTCTTCTACTACCATCACTTTCATTCCACCCAACATTTCCCCCTTTTTTGCTTAGTTGGGAGGTTGGCGGAGTTGGGGCTACTAACCAACCAATATCTATTTTGGTTGACAATAAATTTATTGTTGAGATATATATCTTGAATAAAATTTTTAAAAATATTAATAAGGTATAACTGTTAGTTCTCTCATAAACTTGGTATTTTATCTTAAATATTATAAATAATTTTTGGGTGAAATATCTTATTTTCGGATGCGAATAAAAAAGAAAATAAAATTGAAAGTAGGGAAAACACGAATCTTAACGTGTGGAAGACGTATTTGACAATGAACAATCAATCACCTTGCCATCATTGATGCTCAAATCCGTAACTTTTAGAAACATCAACAATTCATTTAACCACTAAAATAAGTTGATTCATGTTGCTTATCTTAAAATCGATTTTTTTATATTTTTCAATAAATTTTATGTTGTTGATATACATGTGGTAATATATATATATATGGATCAGTCACTAACTAATATTAATATTAATGTTGTTTATACGTAGATATCTTTACGTAAATGCTGAATTTTTAATTATCCAATTTGAAAAAGCTCAAAAAGAAAATATTTTTAAAATATCATTTTAAATCTCTATCTTTTATATAAATTTATCTTTCTCTTATTAAAAAAAACTACACGGTGTATATGTAAAGCTAATATTCACTTACTAATAAAAAATAGATGAATGCGGTGAAAAGTGAAAACTCATTACCTGCAAAACCAAGAGTGGATAAGTGGAGATGCCACTGGAATAATCAACGGTTGGAATGAGTTGCCTGAGCTCCAAGGTGGGTGCAAAATCACCAAAGTCATCGATCACGGAAGCAGTCTCAGCCTCGACAAAGAGCACCCCTTCGGCATTGCAATCGATCTCGATCCTTCCATCCTCGTCCCTCTTCAGCCGCCCCGCCATGGGGTAAAACGGCACCAGTGCCTTGCTCAGTGCCTCCTTCATCACCTGCGGGTCAAAGAAATTGGCCGCTCCCGTAGGTCTGTAGAAGTAAACACTGGGGGTGTGGAACCTGGGTACCACCAAGTCCACGTTGGCGTTCCACAGGCTCCTCCGTGGGGTCTCGCCCGCCGGCCGTACCATTGTTGATTCTTTCACGTTTACGATCATGGTTATGGTGCTGGTGGGGTCCACGGGAAGAAAGAGGATTTGTTGCTTCTGCCTACAAATGAGACCCTAGATTGAGTAAATGATAATAAATGGTACAAACAAGTCGATTCTACAGGTGAGATTAATTACCTTCTTTAGCATAAAGAAAAAATATTAAAACTCTCGAATATACGGAAATGACTGAATGAATGAATCAAGTTCATTTCAACTTGTAATCTAACGTGATTGACAGTGATTCATAATCTGGCTTTGAGTAAGAATCAGAGTTTTGACCTGATTCAATCTATTTTATTATTGAAATAATAACATTTGCACACGTAATTCATCTTTTTCTCCCAAACAATTAAGTGGAATACTTAGTTCCATACAAGTCTAAGAAAAACAGGTACTATAAAATTAAAACCAAGAGATAACAATCGGCTCTCGTCGCTAGGGTGTGATGCTTTAACCGGTCTACGGGTTGTTTAGAAAACAGAAGAGAAAACAAAATTTTCCAGAGGCATTCAAAAACGGAACTCAAAAACCATGGCGATCCAACGATATATGATGTATATAAAGGCAAACAACGAAACATGATGGAAAACCAGAAAGGAAAATAAATTAACTAAGAAGCATGATTGTTCAAGGGAATCGGCAAAAACAAACCTGAAAATGAAAGCAAAAGCTAAGGATGATGAAGAAGAAGAAAATGGTAAATGGATGTGGAATTGGTGAGCGCAGCAAGGAGAGCTTTGAAATAATATATAAGCGTGGAAAAGGAAAAGGCTTCCTTTGCCACTCACGGCTCACCTACTCCCGCCTGCCCACATTGACCATTAACCCTTCTCCTGACTACTTTCATTTCCCAAGCTAAAACTTGTAAAATTGGGTAAATTATGCATTTACTATCTAAACTATTATTTTTCTATATTAATATATAAACTTTTAATTTTTCTAAAATTCTATCTAAATTTAATTTTTATATTGTTTTAGTACATATGTTCAAACTTTAACGTTAAATGCCAACAATTAGTTGGTCTAGTGAGATGAGGTACTATATCCTTAAGCAAAGTTAGGGGTTAGTTGCGAATGGATTAAATTCGATTGCGATGGTCACCCTCTCCTCTACAGTATCTGACATGGATTAGTCGGTCAATAGATTGGATATCAGTGATTAATTCAAAAAAATTGAAAAAAAATGAAAGTTGGGTTCTAAAACTGACCAAAATTAATAGTTTAGGTACTAAATGCGTTAAGTTTTTACAATGTGATACTAAAATGAAACAAAAACTAAATATTAGATACGGTTTTAAAAAAATAAAAGTTTAGATATTAAATCGAATTAAAACTGATAATTTAAGTATTAAATATATAGTTTATCCTATAAAATTTCAAGAAAAATATACATTTTGCTATCAAAAAATATATCATTTTGCTATCAAAAAAATATATCATTTTAAAAAATGCTCAAAGGAAACCGACTAATAATCCAGCTCAAGCACCGTCCCATTGGGAAGCTCCTAATCCATATGGATATGCTTCACGTTGATGACCTCGTCTCTGCGACTACATGTTATGGCTCAGTTGGCGATGTCTTCCGTGATCATGAAGGGTCTTGGATTCAACAAAATGATTGGAGCTGTGCAGCCTCTCCAAGCTAAGCTTTGAGCCATTTTCACTGGTCTCCAAATAGCTTGGGATCAAGGTTTTGGCTACTGGTGATACAAACTGATTCCCTTGAATCAGTTAAACTTTTGGAGGTACCAGATGCAAGACTGAGCTCACTTCTTTTGGTTCGTGCTATCGACAAATTACGTACCAAAGCATGGGCAACGGCTCTATTTTGGGTTCGTCGACGAAACAACTCTCCAGCAGACACCATTGCCAAGCTTTCTATTTCGTAGTCTAACAATATATCCATTTTGGAAGACCCTCCCTCCAGCTATACTTCCAGCTTTAGATAAAGATAAACCCAGTTTATGTTTGATGTAAAACTTACACGTTTTTGCTAAGTCTATTCTCTTCTCAATTAAAAAAAAAATTATACGAATCAATAGCTCAGTTGTTAAATGGATAATTGTTATTTATAAAAATTTTAAGATCAAACACCATCAATTATAGAAATATTTGAACATTTATTATTGAAAATATTTTAAATAAATATTATTACTTATAAATATTTTAGATTAATATTTAAATAAATATTAAAACAGAAAGTATAGAAATAGAAAGAAAAAAGATGATTGATGTCCACAAACCTAACGCATGCGATAAAAGAAGTCATTGCAATGCGGGAAGCTGCTTTCTACTTGTTTTTGTTGGGGGCTTACTTCCGGTCCCTCAACTCCACCGAAAAAGAAGAGAAACCCAATCGTGAGGTTTGACCAAAACCAGATCAGCTCTCCTAATATTCTTTTCATTTCTAAATGCTCAACACTAATCTGCCAAACGTCAAAGCTGTCGTTAACAAAATGGTAATTGAGTTGTTTTCTTTCTCTTATTTTAAATTATCTTAGTCATTAGTATTACCAATTCTGACTTTTTAACCTCGGTTTTCTTTCAAAACCTTTTCAAATATCGTCGAACCAACACACAATGTCATTGCCAACCACATAACGCATAAGATAATTTTAAGTAAACAAATATATATATATATATATATAGATTTTCTTTTCTTTTCTTAAAATATCACTTTATGCGTGGCAGAGTTAGAAAAAAAAATTTAGAGCAATAAATTTAAAATTTATATGAAGATTTTTTTTTATAAAAATTGAATTTTAAGATTTTTATTGTTAAAATTGTTAGAATATGGGTGTTTTTTAGTGTCAAAACTTTTTAAAAAGGATATTATTTTTTCTTTTATATTATATACATAATTTATTGAATATTGTTGTTTAATGTATGTTGGTGTCACCAAATTGTTACTACGTTACAGTGAACATAAATTGAATATTTAGGTTTTTGAGGATTTTGTTTATTTGATGAATGTGATTTGAATGGGAAGTTTTGTCTTACGTCAATTAAGAAAATATATTATCGAAAATGTTATTATTTTTTTAATATTTTCAGTAATATTTCCGATCAAGTGATTAATATTAACATTTATGATAAAAAATATTTTAAGTAGTATTTTACCGAATATATTAACAAACTCGATAAAGCGCTCAATAATAATATTTTCGGTAAAAATAATAATCTCTTAGGTAATTTATTATCAAAAATATTACAAAATAATAATAATTATGATAATAAATTTCTTTAATCGTATATTAAGATGTCGTACGTGAAATTTTTCGATTTAAATACCACGACATAATACAAAGGTAAGGGAAAATGGGATTGGTGAGATGGTGACACCTACTGGAGAGGATAGTCCTATCCTTTTTCTTGCTCTCCAAAATCCATTCATCGATTTTTTTATCAAAAATATTAAAAATAATAATATTTATGATAATAATTTTCTTTAATCGTATATTAAGACGTAAACTTTTTCGATTTAAATACCACGACATAATACAAAGGTAAGCGAAAATGGGGTTGGTGAGATGGTGACACCTACGGGAGAGGAGAGCCTATCCTTTTTCTTGCTCTACAAAAATCCATTCACCGATTCACACCTACTATTATTTAATTTATTATCATTTTTTTATAAAAATATTTGGAAGCTGACGTGTTGGGTCCCACTTCCCCCACTATTGCTATGCTCCGCTCGGTGTTTAGTCGGTGGGGACATGATGAATAAAAGAACTTAGCTTTGTGTTGCGTTGCGTTCGGTCCTACCCTAGTGGTTCTATCAGAAATGGAAGTTAGTGAAACGCTACCGACCGAGACCTCATCCGGGGTATTATTATAATATTATCCAACACCCAAGTCCCGTGGTATTATTAAGATTGGAATCATACTTGATATTTTTTTTAATATCAGATTATTCATTTCTACGTTAGAGCTCGATGTTAGAATTTTTTATTTTTAATATTAATTTTTATAATTTAATTAATTGATAATTGTTGTTGTTGTTATACACAAAGTGATGATTAACGTAATATTGAGGATGTAATTATCATATATAAATTCCTCTGTCACATATCGTGAAATTATAAATTTGAGTGATATTATGTATAACTGAAAAGTAGAGTGGTTTTTTCAATTATTTTGGTCTTTCGATAATTTTATGATTTAAAAAACATAGTAGAATCAATTCTTTAAAAGCTCACATAGCATATCAGTTTTTTTCTCGAGGTTATCTCTTTTTCTCTCTTAAAAAAGAAAACAAGAATAATCTCTGTTTTGAGGTTCTGATTATTTCATCAATAATCAAACAAGTCTTGATATCATCACAAGGTGAATTGAGGATTATACAATATTGAGATTGGATAACATTTATTATTTCTTGCTTTTAAGATATTCAACTATCATAATAGAATATTCAAGTAAGTTTTCATTTCTCTTACTGTAATTCTTAAATTATGCCATGAGATTGATTTGGTTGATTTAATTACCATATCAAGATCATTATGTGTTAATTGTTTCCGCATGCAAGATTAATTGATTTTAACATTTGGTATCATAGCCGGGTTTAATAGGAATTAAATCACCAATTTAGGTTTTATAAGGTTTCATAAGAAATTTGAGTATTTTTTTATTGAAGATTAATTGAAATTATAAATTAACAATTGACTATGATATTGATGTTTGATTGATTGATTGTTAATTGATAAGGAACAATGATATGATCCTGGTTTGATGGTGTATGACGTTGTTGTGACAAGTATAGTTAATGACGTTGCCGTGACAAGTGTAATATCACATCAAACAGTTTTGGATCATGATTTAAATCTTTAATATTTTATGAGTGTGTTAGTCACCAAAGTGGCTCACTCGAAATTCATTAAATGATTTGTATTATGTTTGTAAATGTTTATTTGATGTAGCATCATAAATGATATTTAAAAATAATAAACATTTATAGTTATTAACATGTAGTTATACGATTACCCAAAGGTAGATCTTATTCATAGTTAATAATAAGTAAAGTAGGTTATGAACTTTTTTTTAATTAATATATAAGTTACATCCAAAGATGACTTGTATGTTAAAGTAAACTTAATGATTGACCTTATATATGTTATAAGAATGATGAATGTTTGATGATTGTTGGTTGTGGTTAGATTTAGCCCAAAAGTGAATTTAAATGCAATGTTTTGGTATATGTTATAGTTTGAATTGTGGTTTAAATTCAAAGAAATTAATATGGAAGATGTAAATGTTTGCAATGGTCTCTACTATGTCAAATATGATTGGCAATGATATCAAGTTTAATGGACAGAACTATAATGATTAGATCGAATATGTCAAGCTAAATGCTGGCCTTTTGGGACTCGATTTAGCTCTAGTTATGGATGAGCCCACTAAACCGACCGTTACTAAGGGAATTTGTGGCTGAAATTAAGAAGTGTATTATGAAAGACATTGTGTATAAGTCTGTTGTTGCTGCTCTTATTGATGATTTATCTAATAGAGAGTACATTATAACTCAGTTAATGGAAGAATACATTACTCACATGGTGAATAACTACAACTGTCTTAAAAGATTGGATATAAATCTTGGTTAGAGGGTATTGGTTGAGTTCATGCTGAAATCATGTAAGGGTGATGATTTCATGCTATTTCGGAGAACATACAACCAACTTAAGGAAAATGGTCTCTTTCGGATACTAAGGTCATGCTCTTGCAAGAGGAGACAATGAAAAGAGAAGACCTTAAGGTCAAACTTTCCCAAGCCAACTTTACCTACTGTGGTAATTCAAATACTGGTTCTAGTGGTGGCAAAGCTCCAAGTTAAAAATGGATAATATTCCTTATGCTTCTTTAGTCAAGAGTTTGATGTATACTCAGTCCTATACTAAGTTGGATATAAGCTTTGCGGTTGGTATGTTGGGTTGTTATAAATCAAATCATGGACTGGTTCATTGGAGAGCTGCAAATAAAGTTTTAAGGTACTTGCAAGGCACTAAGGATCACATGCTTACATATAGAACTAGTAACCTTGAGGTTGTTGGTTACTCAGACTCGGACTATGTCGGATGTTCAGATACCCGAAAGTCTACATTCGACTATATGTTTCTTCTAGCTGATAGAGCTGTCTCATGGAAGAGTGGTAAGCAGTCTGTCATTGCTACTTCCACTATAGAGGCTGAATTTATAGCATAATTTGAAGCTACATTTCAATTGTTATGGTTGCACAATTTTGTTGATGGTTTAGGCATCGTTGGTACCATTGCTAAACTGATGAAGATGTATTATGATAATGCGGTGGCTATATTATTCTCTAAGAATGATAGATACTCCAAGGGTTCCAAGCATATGAATTTAAAGTATCTATTTGTCAAAGAAGATGTGCAAAATCAAAGAGTTCAAATAGTACATATTGACACCAATGATATGAGTACGGATCCATTGACTAAAGGACTAACTCCTAAAACATTTATTGGTCATGTTAGTGAAATGGGAGTAGTCGCGAAGTCATTGTATAGCAGATGATTAGTCATACATGTATGAATATATGTCTTACACATTTATGTTTCTTTGATACTCTAGATATCAATGTTTGTTTGGATTTTGATTATCTATGAATCATATTTCAATTATGCATATTTTGTTATGATTATAGATGTTGGATCTTATAAAATTGTGTCTGTTTGAATTGGATTGACCTTTAATAAATGGAAGGAATCAGGACATTTGCCAGGCCCGTGACCACCATGATTTGGTCAGTTTAGTTACGAAGTTGTGACTTGTATATCACGTTATTTAAGTGAGCTCAAATTATGTTAATATGTTATATACTTGTCATATAGGAATCAAGTGAGAGAATGTTAGAATTTTTTATTTCTAATAATGATTCATATAATTTAAGTAATTGATAATTAATGTTGTTGTACACATGGTGATGATTAGTGTAGTATTGAGGATGCAATTATTGGGCGTAAAACCCTCTGTCCCATACCGTGAAAATATAAGTTTGAGTGGTGTTATTTGTAACTGAAAATTAGAGGGTCTTACGGTTATTTTGGTCTTTCGGTTATTTTGTGATTTAAAAAATATAGTAGAATCAATTTTTTACAAAAGCTCACGTAGTAGACAATTTTTTCTCGAATCTCTCTCTTTTTCTCTCTTAAAAAAGAAAACAAGAACAATCTCTATTTTCGGTTATGTTTTTTTCATCAAGAATCAAACAAGTCTTGATATCATCACAAGGCAAATTAAGGATTATACAATATTGAGTTTGAATAACATTTATTATTTCTTACTTTTGAGATATTATGCTATCATATGGAATAATCAAATGAGTTTTCATTTTTTTACTGTAATTCTTAATAATTATGCTATCAGCTTGATTTGGTTGATTTAATTAAATAGATACTTATGTGTTAATTAATTTTAACAGTGATGAAAATCCTTTCATAATATATTGCGGAACTAACATGAAAAACATGGAATTGAAATATTAAAGACAAATGGATAACCAAATGGCAAAATAAGAGCAGATTTACCGTACATGGTATTAAATGAATACTTTAATTACAATGATTGATCTACTTATCTGATTAACGATTGAATTAATTGGACTGTTCCATTATACGACTTTAAAATTGGAGGTGTGACCCTGCATTTGAGAGTCCTTAATAATTTCATTCCCACTTTATTTGATCAGTCGAGCGTTTTTTTTCCCATTCAATTTCATCTGGTCAATTTTTATTGTTTTTCAATTTTTTTTACTTAATTTAATTCTTTTTATTTTGATTTTATCAGTACCTAGCGATAATTTTATTAGAATCGTCCATAACTGTAAAAAAAATTAACTGCCAAATTCTTTTTATTTTAACACATAAGATAAAATGATAATTTAATTAAAATCATCAAAATTTGAAATGATGTTAATAAATATTATAGAAATATAATATTTTAAAATAATTTTAATATATCAATATTTTTTGGTACAATAAAGTTTAAGTCTGGAGTGAATCTGTCTGTCCAGGATAGAGGTGCACAAAAAATCCGAATATCCGATTTTGCGTAAAAAATATCCGAAATCGGATTTGGGAAAAACCGGTTTTTTTTAAACCGGATCGGATATTTTAAAACCGGATAGTATAACTGGTTTGGGAAAAAATTAGACGATCGGATTTTTTACCGGATTAAAAACCGGTTTGAAAAAAACCGGATAAAAAACTGGTTTTTTATCCGGAAGAAAATCCGGTATGGGGTTTAAAAATCCGGTCTGAGGTTTAAAAAATTGGATGACCGGATTTTTTACCAGATTAAAAACCGGTTTTTTCAAACCGAAACCGGTTACACCGGTTACATCATCCGGCCCTCCAAACCGGTTATGATCCGAACCGGTTTTTTTATAAACCGGTTTTTTGACTTAGTGAAAAAACCGGATCAGTTTTTATCCGATCCGGATCGGATTTAAATCCGGCTATGTGCATCTCTAGTCCAGGGTCAAGACATATTTAAAACACAGTTGGGATTTACATAAGAATTTCCAGATTGCTCATTAAGAGTGACGATGGTAAGATTCAAATCTGGTCTTACAAGCTCAAATTCCTAAATTATCTTTAAATAATTTTATTTTTAATTTGTTTGATGGTTTATACTCCAGAAATGGAATTAAAATTATTACTTTAAATTAAAAATATTAAATCAATTTTATTTTAAAAGTTACATTTTGTATGGATTATCTTCTCATTTTGTTAAAGGGGAGAGATTTAAATTAGGAAAATTCTATGACGATCTACGAATACTTTAAATTAAAAATATTAAATGAATTTTATTTTAAAAGTTACATTTTGTATGGATTATCTTCTCATTTTGTTAAAGGGGAGAGAATTAAATTAGAAAAATTCTATGACGATCTACGAACATTGTTTTAAATAATCCATCTTTACATTTTTAACTAATTTATATTTAATATTCTTAGAATTTTACTTTTTTATAAACTAAATTAATGATGTCCAACGGTGCTCACCGAACGTAATATACTTGTAATTTAAATTATTACTTTCAGAAGTAACGTACTCTCATCCCCGCTTGAAGATCCAAAAAGAAAAACTTATTTAGGGCTATGCCCTCCTTATTTATTATTTCTTCTGGAAGTGCAACCATTAATTGAAAATTGAAAAGTAAATTTTAACTATAAAATGAAATAATGAAGTAATTTAAAGGATACTTATGACTTAAATAAAAATGATTTTGATTTTTAATAAATTTTTTTGATAATAAAAAAGAAAGTGATATAGTTGTCATATTTTGATTCCATCTTTTTAAACAACAATTAACTGTGTTTTGAAATGCGGTTCGGTAGTAATCTACTGGAATGTGTTGCCATTTCATCCATTCACGTATATATACAAGTTTTTGTGGGGTGTGGTGAGGATGTGTTCCTTACACCTAATACACACACATACCTGATTTATTTGTTCAAGCTACGCATGTGCTTGTGTCAATGTATGAGACTAGGATTTGTTTTGGTTTATTCAGGAAATGGGGGTATATCTCAGCACCCCAAAAACTGAAAAGTTACCAGACGATGGTGAAAACGACAGGCTTCGTTATGGATTGTCATGCATGCAAGGATGGCGTGCAACCATGGAAGATGCGGTAAGTTCCGTCTGTATTCTTATTGTTTGACATAATATACTACCTAGTATATGTTCCTTAACAAGGCAGTATATAATTAAGTAGCATTGGTTAATGTCCTATGCCTAGTGTATCGGATAAATGCTAATAACTGCTTATCTTACGTCTAGTACATGCTTCTTAACATGGTGATAAAGAACCATATGGCTTTCAAACTGATTATTAAGATCGCATTTATCTCAGGTCACATATTTTCTAAGTTGTACCATTTAGTGTAGGTAACATAGGATATTGGTGGATGTCCTTCGAACTGGCCGTGCTGAAACCTAATATATTTATCTCAATAGATTATTCTTGCTTCATATGTGTGCACTCATGGTCTGTTTTGGAAGTAATTGCTTGTTGCGTATTCAATTATGTTTGAGACCTGTTATATCTATTAAGTTTAAGGGATACAGGTCCTTGTTAAAAGCATGTCTCCTATGTTGATTATTATCTCCATTTTATATACATACCTCATTTCATTTGTACCTCTCAAAAACTCAATTTACCTTTAATGATGCCATGAATTTACTTTTATGATTCTTGTAGCATGCAGCTTCTCCGGATCTGGACAACTTGACAGCTTTTTTTGGTGTTTATGATGGCCATGGAGGTAAGGATCAAGCTCTTCTTTTTATTACATCACTTTTTGTTTTTGTTCTTTACAAAAGTATATAAAGTTCAGATTTCAGTAGAGTTTTCTTACCTTTTCCGGATACCGTTTGTATTTTTTCTTACTACTGAAATTTTAGTTATTCCTTGGCAGATCTTAACTGATCAGTATGTGCGTTGGTTTTGCCACTGATGAATCGACTGGAGCAAACTTATGCCTTTAAACACTGAGGGGGCGTTTGGTTCAGGTTATCTTGGATTACCGGGGGGAATGGAATGTGATTCCCCTGTTTGGATTGCAAACATTCTCAATAGTAGTATTTTGGGGCTTATTACCGAGAATGTGATTCCCCATTCCCTTAGGTATTGTTACATTCCCAACGTTTAGGACTAAAATGTCCTTAATTTGTTTTCTCAAAAATATCATTCTTCTATCGTTGAATAATTATTTTTTTGGATAAGCAAAATTTTGTTATCCAATGAAGAAAGATACAACAAAACATCCCAATTGGGAGTATAAAAGCTACTTACAAAAAAAAAAATCAGTCTATACCCCAATAATTACATAAGTTAATATTAACATAGTCAATTCTATTGAAGTTTCTGTCATTGAGATTGAACCGAACAAGGTCTTTAATATTTTTTAAAACTTGATCCGTTGTTCTTGATTCTCTTCTGAAGATTCGTCTATTTCTTTCTTCTCAGATCAAGTAAATGTAAGATGTCCATGAAAGTTTCAGAATGGTGGTGAGAAGTGATTTGCCTTTCCAATGTTGAGAAGCCCATCCAATTCTTGAATCCCAGGTAGAATGCATGATGCACATTTAAGAAAGACTCATGATTGAGTTCCATAGAGAAGTAGCAAAAAAACAGTCCATAAACAGGTGGTTTCTAGTTTCAGTCGACTCATGACATAGCAACATAAATAGTCATAAACAATACCCATTTTAGAGAGCCTTTCCCGAGTAGGAAGGCGATCCAGAATAGCCATCCATGAGATAATACTCAGCTTGGGAATGTGCAGTGGAAACCAGATAACTTTGTGCCATGGTACCTTTGCATTTTGTTCTCTTAATTCTTCCCATATTTCTCTGGTCTTCGAAATTCATGTGTTAATAATAGGGAGGGCTTCAGCCCTTAATTTGATAAGCTTCCTGAAACACCAGCTATAGGAAGAACTTTCACTGATGTCAGCAAAATTGTTGCTTTTAATTACATAGCAGTAGGTCCATGCTACCCACATT